TCAAAATTGAGATATAAACTCCAAAACATATTCCCAATTATTTACAACAACACCCAATCAAAACAAATAATGATTTTTGAAAACCCAAATTTGAATTCAAAGCTTCAAAGCTTTTTAATGGCTGTCAATGGTGTAATTGCTGCTCTCTTGTCTTTTTGAAGGTTTGTTCTTCTTCATTGAGAAAATTTGAAGCTGAAGGTAAATGTGTGTATGAACTTTGAAGATTTGACTTCAATTTTGACTGGTTTTAGAAGAAAAAAGCTTGAAATTGGACGTTAATGGAAGGGTGTTACATATTTTTCTCTGGTTTTAGCAGAGGGAATAATGGGTTTAAAATGTGGGTGTCGGGAGATACGTGGGTGAGGGTGTGGGTTTGGAAGAGAGAAACGTGGGGGGTGGGGATTTGGAGGAATATACGGTAGCGTTAATTAAGAAGTGATGTACGATATATTAATTATACAGTTAAAACACATTATGGTATAGAATTGGTAATTAGGTATACTAAATGTAAGTAAATCAAACCTTAAACATTGAGGGTAATATAGTTTCCTATATGGAATATGAATGTAAAAATTCCAATTTTATATGATATAGCTAAGTAATGCACCAATAAAATAAAATACTCTAAAAATATTGTTATTTATAGTCACTTTTTATATTTTATAGTTAATTAAAAATAAATACAATTGAGCTCTCTTTCCTCCGTCGACTCTCTCTCTTTTTCCCCTCAACTTTCTCTCTTTTCCCTGTATTTTTTGGCCGCCCTCTAGCTCTACCGGAGCCTAACCAAACATCTGCCTCCCTTTCTCTTCCCTTCTCTCATCTCCATCATTAGATTCAGCCTCCTCTCTCTCTTATCTTCTCTCATATCCATTGTCAGATTCAAATATGAAAATCACGAAGTCGCGATGGGTCCATTACCGGCAGTGAAACAGTAGAGGAGGAATATCGAAGTCACCAGATCTGGATCTGACAGAGATGCCGAAATCCATGGCTTCTTCTCCTTCTTTGTATCTCTCATCTGAATGTATTCGACTGACCGGATTTTGGTAAATGCAATGTGGTATTGTATTCTCAGACCTAGCCAGATTTTGTTCGTCTCTATTTCACTTTTAATACAATATATAAAGTATTTTGCTTGGCCAGAAGACGTCATCTACGATGAACTTTCTTCTCTTTTTTCTATTGAGTCACATATAATGATACTAATACATTGTATTCTGTTCAAATACACTCAAATTTGTGTGTATTATGTATTTTTCAATGCAAATAAAGTTTATTTTTTATATTTTTGCTTGTATTTATGTATTCCAAAAGGTTATTTATAATGACCCGACCGGTTCTTTTGAGTACTAACTTCCTTTTCTGTGTTTCGAGACCTCCCATAGCTTCATTTGATGATTCATGACTTGTGTGTGTGCTCTGTGTCAGTTTTTGGAAAGCTTATATGTGAATTTTTGAAAAAATATAATTTTTTACTTTAATAGTGACATTGAGTTGACCACAATCAATATTTTTCGGTAAACTATCTCGGATCGTTATTTTGATGATTTTGCTAGGTTCGTATGATATTTTTGGACTTGTACGTATGTTTGGTTGGGGTCCGGGTGACCCGAGCGCGTTTCGGCACATTATGTGAAAAATTAAAAAATTTGGTCTTAAACTTGAAATTTTTAAGTTTTGGTGATCGATTTGTGATTTTAGATGTTGTTCTGATGATTTGAGAGAGCAAGCAAGCTAATATGATGTTGTTACACTTGTGTGCATATTCGGTTTGGAGCCCAAGGGGCTTGTATGAGTTTCAGATGCATTGCAGATTGATTTGGAACTGCTCATGCACAGCAGTAGGTGTGTTCAGGTTGCAGGTCTAACATTGACAAAGACCTGATCGCAATTGTGAGCCTCGCATTTGTGATGTCACGCTCACAAATGCAAATTAGGTACTGGGACTAAAGATTTCGCAAATGCGAGAGCTGCAACCTGAACACACCTACTATTGTGACCATGGATAGGCGGGTTGCGCATTTACGACC